GAAATAATATTTTAAAGAAATCAGTGTTAGAACTGAATACTTCTTTGTTAGCTCTATTTATTTTAATTTTAAACAAACTATTAAATTATCTTTTAATTTTCTATAAGTTTTGCGTCGTTTTCGAAAACATTCACAGTCAGAAAAGTTGAAATATTGATATTTTGTAATTATTAATAGGCATTTTACTCAAGTTTTTAAAGTTGAAAAATTAAGGTTTTCTAATTATTATCAGCTTTAAAAGTATAGAAAGTATTCACAGTCAAAAATATTGAAAATTGTGATTTTGTAATTTTTATCATTATTTTACAAGTTTTGAAAATATAGAAAATGCGCCTAAGAGTTGCATAAACATTTTTTAACTATTATGGTGAAATTTTGCATTATTCTAGAGGCTAATTCAATAATTATCATGACAAAGCTCTAAGTTCTTTAATAAATTTATTACTAAGCAGAATTTTATTGGCTTTTTGCAAATTTCTCTTTTTCAAACTGTATGCAATGTATGCAAAGAACACCAGCCTAAAAGCATGCTTTGCAGCAACTTGAAGTTAACTGTAAACTGCGTGTCTTACAATATTATGCTTAGCATATTTATTTGTTGTTGTTATTTTTACTAATTAAAACGCGCTGTTTTTCCCCACAAACAACAATTTAGAATTTGCGGTATTTGACAAACTTTTTTTATTAATATTTGTTGCTTAAATAAATTCATAAATGAAATTTGGAGCAAAAACTCCAGTTTGGCCACACAATCAGCATAAATTGCTCTGATTTCATTTTTTCAATTTTTTTTTATTTCTATTATTTTATTTTATGTTTTGCCTACTAATATTATTATTTTTTCTATTTTAATAAAACTCGAATACATAATTTCATTCAATGTAAATTTAACTGCAACTTTTTGTATTTTTTTGTTTTAATTATTATTCCTAATTAATGTTAAACGTAAGTAATGTAGATGCGTTTGTTGTTTTTTGTTTGAAATGTGCGTACAGTGATTGATTGGTGCTTTTTAACCATAACATCATTAATTATATTTGCAAAAAATATAATATTTTACTGTTGTAAATAAATTATGCCTACAATTAATTTATATACTTATACAGACTAAATATGGCTTTTTTCTTGTTTCATATGATCGATTTTTACTTGTTGTAGTTGTCCATAGTTTTTATTTATAAAAAAAAGTATTTCCCGTTAAACTAGTTAGATATACATATATATAACTTTTTTAAATAATTTTTATGTAATATTTCTGTTTAAAATATGTTTTATATAAACTGTGTTATAACTTGATTGGCTAGAATGACTATAATATGCATAACGCGTGTTTGCTTTTTTTCCTTATTGTTTCTTGTTTTTGTTGCATTTGTAGCTGTGGTTATCATAAAACATACTAAATAATTTTATTATATTTAAACAATGCTTTGCCACACAAGCTTTACTTAAAAATATCCTTTTTTTTTTTTTGTTTTGAAAAGTATATTATATAAGAAAAACCGTTATTTGTTTAGAAACGATAATTTCGCTTACTGTTTTGAGATTCACATGAGTCTACTGATTTGAGAAGTACATGATTTTTGTTCGCAGCTTAGAGTTGTTAGAATATTATGGCTTACAATAGTACGCATTTACGATACACCGCATACAGGGTGGCACTGCTTATGTCTCTACTTTACAATATACATTTGTATGCGCGTGCTTGTGCGCTGCTAATTCGAACTTTAAACGAGCTACGTATTACGCTAAGGCGTTAAGAACTAAAAATATTTTAAGTTCGATTGAAATTGATTTTGATTGTTGTAAGTTTAAGTGAGAATTGCTATACTGTTACGCAGCACAAAATAAGATTTAGCATTTGCTGAGTTGAAGACAAAACCCGACGAGACCTTTTCAGAGACCTAACAGTCAAACGCAGCTTAAAATTAAAACAGCATGCAGCAAGAATCAGGTGAGTGTAGGATATATTTTGTTGCACAACGTTGGTGGTGAGTACACTGCTGGAGAAAAAGAACAAATGTAATAAAGTAAAATAATAATAAAGTAAAATTGCACATTTATACATACCAGTTGGTTACATCGTAAATTCAGTTATGCCACCTAGTCTATACGTCCCGCAAGGCATGCAACGCTGGTGATATGATGTGGCGGTGTGGTGAAAGCAAGCAGACATATGATATTAGGTTTTCTTAATTGACTGCTTGTTCAGTTGACTGATTGCTTGCTGCTGCTACTGCTGTTGGTGTTGCTGTTCGACACATCGGCTGACACAAACGCTCGTCGTACACTCATTAACACAATTCATCCCACCGGCATAAATGACGAGGATGCCGACGTGGTGGATACGGACGACGAAGCATTCGAATATTTTCTGCCAATACTGGCATGTATTATGCCGTTATGCGGCAGGCGTATGTAATCGTATGCGGGGATGTACAGTGGCGTCGGCGTATATACACAGTGGTTAGCTAAACGAAGGTGAGGTATATACACTATTCACTATAGTAGCCATCGTTGCATACAGCATTGGTAAAAATATATATGTATATATATATATATATGCATGTAGGTATATAGGGTATTGTTTGTACTTATATATATGCACGTGGCATGCATACAATGTCACAAAGTTGGTAAGTAGGTGATAGTGCGTTATGTGGTAGTGGTGGTGGGATGATGACGCTGATGTTGTTAGCAATACTCGTATAGTAGATTATTATGTCAGAGCGCTTCCTATACAGATTAGTTGTTGTAGCTGTTATTTGATATAAATTATTGTTGTAGTTGTTGTTTTCTTTTTTCTACGCGTTGACTTGCAGCCACTTGGTTTGTAGTTCAGCGCGTTAAACGTGCTAAAAGTGGCTTGCTCGGTTGCTGTTAGGTTGGGTATATCTCACGCCTGCCACTAAGTGGCCGCTGCACAAACGAGCTGTGGCCTGTCGAATGCGACGTTGCTGCTTGCTTGGCCACCATGTAGACACACATCGCTGCCATTATTTTCGCGCTGATTTCTGCGCCGCTTTACTTCTTGTGTTGTTATTGCTTTTGCTTTATATGGCATGATTGTAACAATCTATCTAAATTAGAATTATTATTATTTATTATTTTATTTATTTTTTTATTATATTATTTATTTTTTTATTATATTATTATTATTTTTTTTATATTGTATCATTCAATATTATTTCATATTTTTATAACATTATTATAAATTGAATTATGCAATTTATTACTTTTTTTATTATTTTATTATATGGCTCGCTTTCAATAGCGAAATTTTTGTATGCCTTTAGACATCTGTCGAGTGGTGAGAAAGACAACTATTTTTACTTCGCTAATTGTTATATATTTTTTAGGTATTAATAGTTGGTAGTAGTTGTGAAGGTGTGTGGGTGGTAGCAACGAGTTAATCAATCAATCGCGTCTAAATGGGTTATTTTCGTCTACCATGGCACCGGATGGGTTAGCATGTAAATAAAAATTAAAAAAAGTAGAAGAGAAAAACAAGAAGAATTTTTAGTGGTTATTGTTAGTAAATATTATTTATAAATTACATAATTAAATTTCAAAAGTGTTATTAATACACATTTGCATGTTTGATGTGTTAAATTTCACTGATTTGGATAGTTGAGAGGTGACTAATTTGCAATTAGGCAAAGTAAATGCTTTCAAGTGCGTACGACGGCTATTAAAATCGAAAAACTGTTCTTCAATGTACTGAAAAGTACCAGAAAAAGTAAAAGAAATCCGACTATGCGCAATATTGTTTATAAATAACCTAGACGTAATTACGAAAACGCGTTAAGTTTTCATTGTTGTTGTTGTTAAAGCGGCGGAAAATATTATTGTAGTAATTTCGAGGAATGGAGGCAAGTTGACAGTCCTTTGCTGGATAAAAATCTAGGTCCCCTTTAGTAACCAAAGATTTTTACCGAATAATGAGCCACAAAATTTGAATTTCTTGCAGAATAAAGCAACTGTGGGTTAACTGTATACGACTATAGTTATATAATATAATCGCTTGTTTATAAAATTCAATTGTCAGCTGCCGAAACCGTAAGCCGGTTATTGCCCCTAAACAACTTTGCTTACAGTCATACATTTATTTGTTATGCCCATAAATATGCGAACTTAAGCAAATACTCTGTGAGGTGTGATGATAAAAATGTATTTGCTAATCACACTACCCAATTTATTGGCAAAGAAGCCTATAAAGTTATTGGTAGGCATTGTAAACTAACAAATAAATTGTTGCTGTTGTTGCTCTCTAACGCTACATTGCTTTCTCGCACTTATAAGCGTTAACTGCTAATGGTAACTTTTAATTCGAAAGATTTATGACAGACAAATCGTAGCGAAATGCTAGTGAAGCAACGTTAAGCAGCTTCGTCTTGGCGGCAGCTGGAGTTTAGCCTGCACAAAATACCGTTTTCAACTTCACAAATTGCAGTTATGCAACTAAAATTATAAATGTATATTTTCTACTTATTTTATGCCACCGCCTTTTAATTAAAGTGCGCATCTGCTTGATATATGCGGAAGGAAATTTTCCATAATTTCTTTTGTCGTGATTATTTTAATGTTGAAACGCACTTAAAAGCACTTACAAATGCTTTTTGTTGCATTATTGATATGTACAAATGTGTGTTGGTGTGAGTTTGTGTGTGTACGCTAATGTGTCGGCGTTGATGAACTGTAATTATCTAATGTTTAACTGCCGCATATCAATTAATTGCACACGGTCGTGTAATCGATCAACCTAACTGAGCATTTTTTTGTGTTTTTTTATGCAAATACAAATACATTTATGGAAAATAGTTATTCACACTTCAATGCTTGCCACATCGATGACATGTCAATTAAACATTAAGTAATTACAATTCATACACCTGTTTTATTAATTCTTTCTATTTTCGTTCTTGTTTCATATGCTTAAACATGAGTTACAATGTATGCATGTGTGTGTGTGTGTAGATACAGGATGAGATTTTGTATTAATAAATACTGACATTCATATTTCTTCGATTAGTGTTTTCGCTTTTGAATACATTTAGGTACTTTTGTGAATTATTTTCCAAATTATTGTCATTACTTCTGTGGCTTTTTGGTGCACAGCTTGTTTGCTTGCTCTTGTAGGGTAAAAGTTATTTATACATAATAAAAATTGAATAGTTTTATTGATTTTTGGTTTGATTAATTTACTATAGATATTTTACTCGATGCGTAGTAAGTTCAAAGAGAATTAATAGTAATTTACAAAACATGAAATTTTAAATTGTTTTAGTTAACTTGGCCTTTGGTTAGTCTCTTTTTTTTTTTTTTTTTT